ATTCAAGCTAATACAATTAGAATAACTCTTTCTAAAAGAAATATGCCATTAAAACCTTGGATAACACCGGGAGTTGTAAGATCAATAAGAAAGTGGGACAAATTATATAAACAATTAAAAAAGGATAACACTAATGAAGATTTAGCATCACACTATAGAAAATACAGAAACATATGAAATAATATAATAAAAAACTTAAAAAGACAGTATTACAAACATGAACTTCACACCAGTACTGGAAACGTTAGAAAAACATGGAAGATAATTAAAGAAATTTGTAATCTAAGCCAATCCAAACAAATAACGACAGAATTATTAACAATTAAAGCTACTCCAAAAGCTTCACTTAATCTAGTAAACACCTATTTCACTACAATTGGTTCACAGCTTGCAAATTATACTCTGAACACCATAGGCAAATCAGTCTCAGAACTTGCTGATAATGTCAAACAGATAGGTCCAACACTTTCGATGGCGTTTTTCCTAACAGATTCTGAGGAAGTAAAAACTACCATTAACGAACTTAAATCAAATAGCTCTCCTGGCTGGGACAAAATTACTGTTAATTTCATTAAAAGGTATAGTCGAATTCTTTGCGCACCTATAGCACATCTATTTAATACTAGTTTTCAAACAGGGCAATTTCCGTCATCCTTCAAACAGGCCATAGTAACACCAATATATAAATCTGGCAATAAGACCGCTCCTTCAAATTACAGGCCGATTTTATTGTTACCTACTTTTTTCAAAAATAATTGAGAAGCTCGTGAATAAAAGATTGACAAAATATTTAGAGCGCTACGGATATCTAGCTGCGAATCAATTTGGTTTTAGGGCACATCGTTCAACAGAAGACGCAGTTTTACAACTGACCTCAAAAATAACATCTCATGTAGACAAAGGTGATAAATGCATATGTGTTTTCTTAGACTTGCAAAAAGCATTCGATACTGTGTCTATTCCTATACTTCTCGGACGTCTCGAAAATCTAGGTAGAAGAGGTATGCCATATGCATGGTTCTGTAACTACGAGTATCTTATCAACAGAACCCAAATATTACGTGTTGAAGACAAGCTAAGTGATAAAGCCGAATGTAGCTGTATGGTGTTCCACAAGGCAGCACTCTTGAACTTTTACTATTTTTGATGTACATAAATGAATTGTGTACAATCAACATCGATAATGCGGACCTTTTTATGTTTGTGGACGATACTGTAATCCTCTTTCATGGTACGGACTGGGATACTGTGCAACATTGTGCTGAAAGTGGATTACGTGTGGTCACAAAATGGCTGGAAAATAATCTTTTAACCGTAAATGGTACAAAAACAAAATACACCTGTTTTTATAAAACTATAATCTCAAGACCACCACATAGCTTTTCTGTCACCATGCATACGTACCCGTGTAATACGTCTCAAAAAAAGGAGAGATGTAAATGTACAATATTAGAACGAACATCTACGATAAAATACCTTGGAGTAATCCTCGACGAAAGATTAAATTGGCAACCTCATATAGCAAATGTATCTAAACGAATTCGGAGACTCACTATAGTATTTAAGAACCTAAGAACTGTAGCGACAAAAAAACTGCTAATTGAGACATATAACGCCCTTTGTCATTGTCTCATAAATTATTGTATCTGCTCATGGGGTGGAGCTCCCAAAACGTACCTTATAGAGGCCGAGAGAGCTCAAAGATCTATATTAAAACTAATACTAACTCTTCCTTATACACACCCCACATCTAAAGTTACATGAATTGGAAAATGTCCTAAGTGTACGAAAATCGTATATATACCAATGCATAAAACGATATCATAATATTTGCCCCATACATGTGGATAGAAACAAAAAACAAAAAATTTCCAGTACCATTTGTCAAAAGCGCTTTAGCAAAAAGGCAATATGACTACCAAGCACCTCATTTATACAATGCTATTAATAAAAAAATTAAATTAAAGAACTTAAAACGACACCAAATTAAACAAACTATTTTAAATTGCGTAAAAGAATACGACTATTACAACTGTGAAAAGCTACTTTAAGCACATATTTTAAAAAAACAGACACACAAAAAAAAAAAAAAACACACACACACACACACACACGCACATGCACACGCGCACACACATGCACGCGCACACGCACGCATGCATACACACACTTTTTATTTTTTTATTTTATTTTTTTCTTGATCTATGTTTAGAGTCTGCATTGTGCACGGAATGTAAGATAACTGAATGGGAGGAAACTGCCTCCTAACATACAGGGTAACCTAGTTTAGGAGTCAGGGTATCTATGAATTGAATATTAATTTCTGTGTTCAATAAAGAATTATTATTATTATGTGGGGTATCTATATGGTTTTCTCATCTGGTTGGGTTCTATAAATATATAATTATAAATAAAAATGAAAAGATAAATATACATAAATATCAATAAAATAAAATAAATACAAAAATACATAAATAAATAAAAGCCCAACCAGATGGAAGCCCTCGGCAGTGGAGACCAATCGGCCAAGGGTTAGGGGGAAAGGGAAAGAAACCGGCGGACGATGTGGGCGGTATCAAGGAGCACCGCCTTCTGCATTTGAGCCCGGAGCGGTCCGTCACGGAGTCCCAGTCGCCTCAGATGACCAGAGAGGCTAACTGGGATTAGCCCATTCGCAGAGACGACTACAGGAATAATTTCGGTCGGCAGACCACCCCACATGTCGGTCACCTCGTGAGCCAGGTCCAGATATTTTGATTGCTTATCTGTTTCGGCTTTCACGAGGTTCTCGTCATACGGGATGGTAATGTCGACCAAAAATATCCTTGACTGTGCCCGGTCCATCAGCACAATATCAGGCTTATTCGCAAGAATAGTCCTGTCTGTGATGATGGCCCGGTCCCAGTAGAGCCTGGCGCGGTCATTTTCGAGCACGGCTTCCGGCAAGTACTTGTAATATGGCAATTTCCGGTCCCGAGACCGTATTTCAGAGCGAGCTCCTGGTGTAGAATTCTGGCTACTAGGTTGTGCCTGTGCAAGTACTCAGAGTTAGAAAGCGCCGAACAACCGGAGATGACATGCCTAAGTGACTCACCGGGATGGCGACAAGCTCGACAGACGTCGACGGTGCCATCCTTTAGGATGTATCTCCGATAGTTGTTGGTCTTAATAACCTGATCCTGTATTGCACAGATAAAACCCTCGGTTTCCCCGAAGAGGTCACCGAAACGCAGCCAGTTGAGGGAGGCGACTGTATCTACGAAGGGCTCATGTAGAGCCCTGTAGTACCTCCCGTGGAGCTCTTTCTCCTTCCATACGGTCTCCCGGTCGGAAATGCTAAGCACTGCTGGGTCCTGCCATTGCTCGTTGGCTAAGGATAGAGGGGTAAGCCCTTTATCACTAGAAATGACGTCATTATAGAATGGATCATCCGATCTCGCCAGGAAGTAATGACGGAGGCTGCACACTTCACGATTATGCATGGTGAGCGCGCTCAGAAAGCCACGCCCACCATGCTTTCGCGGCAAGTACAGCCTCATTACCGACGATCTCGGATGATGCATCCTATGGGACGTCATGGTAGTGCGGACTTTTCTATCCAGGGCGTTAAGTTCAGTCTGACTCCACCTGAGTATGCCAAAGGTATACATAAGGACAGGCATGACCCAACCGTTATATACGTGTGTCTTATTCACACCGGACAAAAGGCTGTTAAGCACTTTGGTCAAGCGTGCATAAAACACGTCGCAAACTGACTGTTTCATACCAGCCTCATCGATACCGATGTTCTGTGACATGCCCAGGTATCGGTATGTTTCAGCCTCGGAAAGGGTCCTTAAGTTGACGGGCATAGATAAGTCTATCGTGCCCTCAGAGTTAGCAACCCTTCCCCTTTCAACATGGAGGACCGCACACTTATCCGTCCCCAGCTCCATTCCAATGGAATTGCTAAATTCACAAGTGATGTTTAGCAATTCCATAAGATGGGAGCGACTGGAGGCGAATAACTTGAGGTCATCCATATAGAAAAGGTGGGTCACTTTTGCCCCTCCTTTCCGTAGCTGAAATCCTCTCTCGGATCCCTCCAGTAAGGTACTGAGAGGGTTCAGGGAGAGGCAGAACCAGATTGGACTCAGACAGTCGCCCTGGAAGATACCCCTTCTTATCCTTATGTGGTTCTCCGCAGCCATCATCCGCTCGCCCAGATGACAAAGGATCGTACTCCACTGCCCCATACACTGCTCGAGGAAGTCTCTCACTGTACAGTCTATCTTGTACAGCTCGAGGACTCTCTTTAGCCATGTATGGGGCACCGAGTCGAATGCCTTTCTGTAGTCTATCCAGGCGGCGGAGAAGTTCCGACGGTTGCGTTTCACCACTTTGCCAATGACCGCGTCAATGAGGAGTGGTTCCTTGGTTCCACGACCACCGCCCCGACATCCATTTTGAGCGCGTGACATCACTTGATTTAGCTCCAGGTGACGAGTGATTCTCGCGCTCAAAATGGATGTCAGTGTCTTATATATGGTGGGTAGACACGTAATGGGGCGGTATTTGCTCGGGTCTGTGGTAACCTGGTCTTTAGGAACCAAGTGAGTGATCCCAGTAGTGAAGAGGCTAGGGAGCGACTTCTGGTTGAGAGCCTCTTGAAACTGACGGGCGAGCACAGCGTGACACACCATGAACCCCTTCAGCCAGTAGTGATGCAGTCCGTCGAGTCCCGGACTTTTCCAGTTCGGGGCTCTACGGACCGCCTCAGCTACGTCATCCGGCGTTATGATGACGGGGTCCATGGGCGTAATACTCGCACACTGACTCGCCACAACTTCCGTCCAAGAGCCCTCGCTGTGGTTTACGGGCTCTGACCACAGGCCACGCCAAAATGCGACAGTGTTAGCCTGATCCGGTCCTGGGCCCGCTCCACATACCTCTGGTCGCTCCATTGATTTGTAGAGCCTCTTCTGATCACTCTGGAAGAGACGATTCTGGTTGAACCGCCTTTAATTCTCGGTAAATCGGCGAATCCGCTTCCCCCAAGCAGCGATCTTTTGCTTCAGGTCGTCTATGCGCTCCGTTAGTTTCTGCGTGATATCCGGCTGGGACAAACTGATTTTTGTCCCAGCAAACGCCATTCTAACGGAGCGCACAACCCTCGGTCTATTATTACCCGACCTGAAGCTTATCAGTCTGCCGATAAGGGCCCTTGCCTTTGCGATACGGTCCTCAATTCTTTTTCTCCAGGCTGGGATGGCGCTACTTTGTTTAGTAGCGCGTCCAGCCATGGGAAGTTTGGCGCCAATAATACGGCAAGCTGCCACTGCGGCGCCAAAAAGAACTGAGTCCGTCTCGCAAAGGTCCCGGCTGGCTTCCAAATAGGTTACCAGCATAGGGTTAAGAGCCCTCACGACAGCCCGATTTCGCTTGCTTAGGGGTATGCGGGGAAGTCGCGGTCGATTTTCGAGAGGCATGGTGCGCGTTTCCAAAATCGCCTCTTCCAGTATACTCCTCATTTGCTCTAGTTCGTGGGAGACCATTTCATCATCGTCGGAATCAACCACAACTGGAAGATCCATGGCAGCTTCTACGCGTGGCAGCTGGTCTGTCGCCTGAGGAGCCGCATCCCCAGCCGTAGCCAATTCATTCGATGAGGGAATGGCCTCACGTCGTAGTCGTTCGAGCTCGGCATCATCAAATATTTTCGAGCGCATGATGTACCGAACTCGGTCTGCCAGGTTTTGTTCCGTGACGGGAATAGACGGCTCCAGCTCAGCAAAAAAGCAATGCATCCGAGCCCGATACGCTATCCCCTTAGTTTCTTCCCCTTTCGCCCTATAGTACGCCCGCAATGCGTTTGCGTTCATATCTCTTGTCCAACGCATGCGGCGCACTCCACCAGCGGCGGATGCCGCTTGCCGAGTCCGAGAGGACCCTGCCGACATCAAGCCGTCTGGTGGGGATGATGGATGCGGGGGCTGCTAGGTGATCTTGCAGCTCCTCGCGCTCGGCTGGCGGCCCGCATGCTGCCGCGTCCAGCGCCAGCTCCAGACGCGCCCCGGCGACCCCCAGGCAGCGGCCCTATACGCTTTCTAATCATATCCATCATCCATTTTTGGGCGCCAATTAACGGGAGACGCCCAGGCCCGGCACCGTTTCATTGCATCATTGTACGGCCGTAAGCACAAACGGACCTTTGCACCCTGAGTACTGCCGAGGCACGGCGCTCACACCTCTTCGACAAGGCGCTGACTGACTGCACCGACGTAGCAGTTTTGTCACTTAACTGTTTCGTCAGCGGGCGATGGGGTCGTCACTTCCCTACGCCTTTTTATTATTATTATTTTATTATATTTTTTTATTATATTTTTATTATTATTATTATTATTATAATTTTCATGAAAATACTGTATCTACACGGCCATTATTTTACAACTAAAAAGATAAATAACGGTTATAAATCTTACATTATTACAGGAACATGTTCTTGGTTACTAACTTTATAATGAAATAATACTAGTTTTTACGGAATTTATCGCGTATATTTAACTTTTTAAATACCCGACGTTTCGAGAGCTTTACAGCACCCATGGTCACAGGAAGGACTGAGATGTTCAACGTCCAGATCTCATAGTTAACCGCGGTTACCATAGATTAAAATTTAACTTTTGTTCCGATCTAGTAAAGTCACAGTATGAACTTATGGTATCATGTGTATGCAGTTGTATGCTTTTTTGGGATTTAATTTTATTTATTATAGGATCCCAAGCAGATGGTAGCACCCAGCTACCTTCTCTATTAAAATTAGGATGTTTTTTGATTTCAATAGCCTCGCGAATCATCCTTGGAAGGAGTCGGTGTTCTTTAGCGAGGATTTGTGATCTATCAAATATGATGTAGTGACGGGGGCGATCCCGTACGTGTTCACAGACTGCAGACTTCCCGGAGCGTCGATTCTTCACGTCAGCTATATGTTCTTTAACGCGGGTTTAAATTGATCGTTTAGTTTGTCCTATATAGGAGAGACCACATTCACAATCAAGCTTGTACCCTCCTGCATCTTGCAGAGGGATGTTCCACTTGACTGATGGTAAAAATTGACCAGTCTTCTTCGGCGGCTTGAAGTATGTATTGATGGAAGCGCACTTCAAGATGTAGCCAATCTTGTCAGTGACTCCTCTAATATATGCCAGTATAGTAGGTACACGCTCGACTGTGGCCGACTTCACTCGTTCTCTGTGACGTAGGCGCGGGACCCGAAGCTTGTGTCATGCAAAACTTGCTTGACGAGTTGGAGCTCGGCAGCCAGGTGTTTACTGTCACAGATCCCTCGTGCTCTCTGAAAAAAAGATTTACCCACGGTAGCTAACTGTGAAGGATGGTGGTGAGAATCACCGTTTAAATATCTATCTGTATGGGTCTTTTTTCTATACACAGTATGACTCAAGGTGTTATCAGGATTCCGAATTACTAACACATCTAGAAAAGCTAAGGAATTGTTTGCCTCTAACTCCATTGTGAACTGAATTTTAGAATTTATAGAGTTAAGATGGTCTAAAAATGCAGTTACTTTATCTAAAGGTAGAATTGTGAAAGTGTCGTCTACGTACCGCTTGTAGAATCTTGGATTTATGGGAGAAGTAACCAGGTCTTTCTCCTCAAAGTCTTCCATGAATATGTCGGCGACAATGGGAGATACAGGTGAACCCATCGCCACACCATCTACTTGCTTGTAGAACTCCTCCTTCCACAATAGGTAGACAGATGTAAGGCAGTGTCTGAGTAATACTGCATATTCTACGGGCATGTTGTTTTCTTCCAGCCTTCTAGTTACAATTTAGATGCAGTCTTCAACAGATAAGCATGTAAACAATGACTGCATATCAAAACTGAACATAGTTTAATTATCTGCCAGACGTAGGTCTTTAGTCTTGCTGACAAAATGGTAGGAATCCTTTATGTGTGCTCTTGTATGTCCCCTGAGCGGTGAGAGTATTTTCGCTAAGTGTTGAGTCAATCTGTAAGTTGGTTAATCGATTTGGCTCACTATGGGACGTAATGGAGCATTGGGCTTGTGTATTTTTGGTAACCCATACAACTTTGGTGATTTGACGCACGTAGCTATTGTCCATTTTACGTCCAGATTTAATTTTTCGGAGTGTTTCTTTATGAGGTCACTAGTTGTTTTTAGTTTGCTATTTGTTGTGTCGTTTTTAACATTTTTATAAGTACTGATATCCGGCAAAAGTTCATGTATTTTAGAATTATAATCTGACGTATCCATGACTACCGTGGCGTTTCCCTTATCTGCGCGGAGAATCGTAAGTTCTGGTTTATTGCGTAGGTTCTTTAACGCTATAAATTCGTCTTTGGGAAGATTCGGTTTAGGCACCGAACATCGACGTAACATAGACGAAATGTCTTGACGTATCGCCTCCAAATCTTCTTTCCGCATATTGTTTTAAATAAACAGTCCTCAACACTACAGATAATTTCTTCGTACGGTAATCTGCGTGGAGTTATAGCATAATTGAGGCCTTTGGATAAAACCTTAATTGTTGAATAATCCAGTGTTTGTTTTGACAGATTATAGAACGCGATTAATCTATGATCTGTGTTTGTCAATGGTTGCTTTTGGTTCTGGCATTGATTCGGATGTTTGACATTTGATTTGGCCGTTTTTTGATATTTTTCTATATGTTTGTTTTTGCATTCTTTATATTTACTAATTTCGCGTTTATTTAATGTTTCCATGCAAAAATTATAATCAAACGCTCGCTCGAAAATACTCTCACCGCTCAGGGTACATACAAGAGCACACATAAAGGATTCCTACCATTTTGTCAGCGAGTTTAAAGACCTACGTCTGGCGGACAATGAAACTATGGTCAGTTTTGATGTGCAGTCATTGTTTACATGCTTACTTGTTGAAGACTGCATCTCAATTGTAACTAGAAGGCTGGAAGAAAACAACATGCCCGTAGAATATGCAGTATTACTCAGACACTGCCTTACATCTGGCTACCTATTGTGGAAGGAGGAGTTCTACAAGCAAGTAGATGGTGTGGCGATGGGCTCACCTGTATCTCCCATTGTCGCCGACATATTCATGGAAGACTTTGAGGAGAAAGCCCTGCTTAATTCTCCCATAAATCCAAGATTCTACAAGCGGTACGTAGACGACACTTTCACAATTCTACCTTTAGATAAAGTAACTGCATTTTTAGACCATCTTAACTCTATAAATTCTAAAATTCAGTTCACAATGGAGTTAGAGGCAAACAATTCCTTAGCTTTTCTAGATGTGTTAGTAATTCGGAATCCTGATAACACCTTGAGCCATACTGTGTATAGAAAAAAGACCCATACAGATAGATATTTAAACGTTGATTCTCACCACCATCCTTCACAGTTAGCTACCGTGGGTAAATCTTTTTTCAGAGAGCACGAGGGATCTGTGACAGTATACACCGCATGTCAAGCAAGTTTTGCATGACAACAAGCTTCGGGTCCCGCGCCTACGTCACAGTGAACGAGTGAAGCCGGCCACAGTCGAGCGTGTACCTGCTGTACTGCCATATGTTAGAGGAGTCACTGACAAGATTGGCTACATCTTGAAGCGCGCTTCCATCAAAACATACTTCAAGCCGCCGAAGAAGATTGGTCAGTTTTTACCATTGGTCAAGTGTAATATCCCTCTGCAAGATGCAGGAGTGTACAAGCTTGATTGTGAATGTGGTCTCTCCTACATAGGACAAACTAAAAGATCAATAAAAACCCGCGTTAAAGAACATATAGCTGATGTGAAGAATCGACGCTCCGGGAAGTCTGCAGTCTGTGAACACGTACAGGATCGCCCCCGTCACTACATCAGATTTGATAGACCGCAAATCCTCGCTAAAGAACACCGATTCCTTCCAAGGATGATTCGCGAGGCTATTGAAATCAAAAAACATCCTAATTTCAATAGAGAAGATGGCTGGGTGCTACCATCTACTTGGGATCCTATAATAAATAAAATTAAATCCCAAAAAAGCATACAACTGCATACACATGATACCATAAGTTCATACTGTGTAGATCGGAACAAAAGTTAAATTTTAATCTATGGTAACCGCGGTTAACTATGAGATCTGGACGTTGAACATCTCAGTCCTTCCTGTGACCATGGGTGCTGTAAAGCTCTCAAAACGTCGGGTATTTAAAAAGTTAAATATACGCGATAAATTCCGTAAAAACTAGTATTATTTCAATGTGTGGTGTTCGCGTAAATATAGGAAATCATTATTAACTTTATAATTTGAATGTGTTTATTGTCAACGTACATAATATTATCTGAGGTACATAAAGTCTACACAAAGTCTAATCAATTCCCGGCTGACAATGTAATCTCATCTACTCACTAAAGGTATCGGTCAGTCGTCGTTTAATTACATAGTACTCCGCGGGAAGCGGTGGGTTTGGATTAATGCAATGCCTAGCAATCAATGCATACCCAATAGGCTAAACATAAACTCTAAAAATTATATTTTATATCCTCTTGTATTCTGTTAAACGAGTGATAATTCTATGACACCAAAAGTAGTCAAAACTGAAGATAGAAAAAAGTATATTACTCGTGATATTTTTCTCTTTTGATATTGTTCACCCATGACATTGGAGACTAGTTTTCTTTTTACTTAAAGCTCCAAAATAATAATGGAATAGATTGTGGTGACACTGTCTTGTCGTGCTCCCCAGACTAACTATCTTTTGCAAGGGTGATCTTTCTATTTCCTTAAATGACCGCAGAGATGACCTTGACATGTTGTGAACGGATCAACGCAATCTGCAACCTTTGAAAATCCCTTCCATTTGTTTATAAGCAAAAATCGTCATTATTCTTTAGCTTTTGTAAGCCAGCGTAGCTTGACAAAATTTATCGCAGTATTTTAATAAAGCTGCA